TCATGATGAGACTGAAATTTTTTTAATGATAATATCGGCCAAAAAAGCCTCTTTTGAAGGAATGAAAGAAGACCAAAATATTACGCTCCACAACTGCGTGGTAATGTAAAACCATCGAGTCCGGGCTTCAGATCAATATTGGTTATGGTATGCCGACATGTTCGACATTGAATCGAAATGCGAGTGGCTTTTGCTCTTACTTGTGATGCAGCAACTATAATTCCGGATATTTTAACCAAACGAGATACTTGGGCACTCTGTAAAGAGAAAGCTTAGATGATGAAAATGTTATAGTTCATTCATGGTAGAAGGAAATTGAATGTTTGCAGCATTTAAGATGACTTACTTTCAGTTGTCGAATACTCTGCGCAAGCTCATCGGTACGAAGTGTCACCTGTATATCATGAATTTCAGCCACATCTTCAACACCTTGCATTACCTCATCAGCAACAAGTTTTGCCGCTTCTTCAAGCTATAACAGAGTGTTAAAGTTAAAATGATCCTTATCAGCATCAATAAGAAAAGGAGGTAAAATCTTCAAAACATACAGCGGTAAGAAATCGTCCAGGATACTGATGTAACTTATTTGCTAAAGGTTCACTAAAACCCTTTAAATCATCCACTGATATTTCCACATGATGTTTCCCAAGGCTACAATTCCTTTTCAACTGATCCCTGCAATTTTCTCTTTCGTCCTTCCAATTAAAACATACAAATATATGAATTATTCTTGAGAAATTTCTCAGAAAATTTTCCAAATTCAACTTTTCAAAACAAAAAACGAATAAAAATGTTGCATTAGATTAGATTATTTTCAAGATTATTTTGAATTTATTTTTTTTTTTTGCAGAAAAAATAAGAAATTTAATGATTACCTATAAACAAGACCAAATCCACCAACATTATATTCACGGATAAAATTCCGGAACAACTCGACGGTTTCCTTATGCTCAGCAATTAATTCACGTCCCTCATCTTGTATATCTTCATCTGTCGCAAAAAATCGTTCCTATAAAGCAATGCAATAACCATTCCGGATTGTTTTGCTTGCAGTACAATAAGCATTCCGAGATCAGAATTATTGACTAACCTGATAGAATAGTCCCGGGTTGTCGAAGCTTATCATCTGAACACCTCAAATGCAACAATTATTGCGGGGTGATAAATAATTTAAAATTGAATCTCCCGCAAAAAGAAAATGCAACTTTTGCAGCATTAGCATAAAGTGGTAATGGTGAATGAAGTGTGGGAAATAGTATGGTAAAAAATGAGAGGAAGAGGGATTGCTAAGATTGGAGAGTGATGCGGAGTATTAGGAGAGGGTTCGACGGTACAACGATGGAAAAAGAATGTTGAAGAGGATAAGTAGCAAAAAAAATAGCAAAATAATCATGATTGATAATGTGAGCAGAGATTGAGAAGGTGGCAGAAGGAAAGAGCTATTAATCTTCAAAATTGCATACAATCTCTGGAGTATTCGTTGAGTTTTGCCAATTTGACTGCCAGTTATATTATCACTCATTAGGTGTTTGGGAGGATAAATCATACTCGGGAATCGGGTAGGAATATCGCGGTACTATACTCGGGAATCGGGTAAGAATATCGTGGTATCATTTTCTAATAGTATGATGGATCAAGATGATGTTAAGTTGATGAGCTTTTGATTTTTAGATGAAACATCTTCGTGTGTTGAAACAATTCGAATGGATCGAACAAGCAATCCGGAATGCAAACCGTCATACAACCGAATCCAGAAGATCCACTGGTAATATTTCCTTTCTTTTAATGTTCATGTACTATCTGAGCATTTTCACAATTGCATAATTTTACTTGGGTACTTCAAAATTACAGGATATTATTTGAATACTCTGAGGATTGCACTTAGCAATGTACTCTCAGAACTACACAATCTTATTTCGACGGTTTCAGGAAAAAATTTACCAAATAAACAAATTTTTTAGTTTTGTGTTATTTCAAGGAAAATATATAGATGTCTTTTGTTTTGAATTATAATATATGAAGTATTGATTGTAGCATAATGGTTAAAAGAATCATTTCATCCTAGAAGGGTTAACTCATGACCTTTTGTAAAATTGTATAGAATTCAATTTCTCTGTAACTAAAAGTAGCGCTTAATTCTAATTAATTACGAACATTTTTATTTCTTTCTTGTTTTTATAATTCTAACTCAGCAAATTCTAACTCAGCAATACCGTGTAATTATTATTTTATTTTATTTTTTAGTCACAGTACC